AAAAAAACGAATAAAAACATTTTATAGAAGAGAAAGAGCTCTTTCGAATGAATATATACACTTCGCCAAAAAACAAAGCGAATCTTTGTAAAATGACCCTAACACAAAACTCTACGAACTTATGTTACAACCCAATACTTAACAAATGTGATGGCATATGGATAAAAGTTGACCAATAAATTTATTCAGAGACCATGAAGTACGATCGGTCGGTCCATCAGCACAGCTGATAATGAGCCTTGTTTTATAGGCCTGTTGCGGATGTGGCTCAACACCTCAGCATTCAACATATGGGCTTTGACAACGCTATAGAGTCCTAGGCGGCAGGATGTTCCAGCTTTCGCTCCTCGGTAAATTTTTCATCATACCTTCCTGACTTTCCTATTTCGGTCCAAAACTTGTCCAACTTTATGCCCTGGGCCTGCATCTGAAAGGCTTTCTCTGTCGAGTTGCGATAGACTGATGTCTGGCAGCTGGACTTCAGTGATATCTCTGTTTAGGAATTCAGGTAGAATCGCAAACCTCCATCTCTGGAACCCAGTAAACAGCGTTTTTCATCCTGACGTTTTCATTCACGAATTTTAGTTTTCGATCCCTTCCCGTTGCTCTCGTGTGGAGCCGAAGCGTCTTTCAAGCCCGAATATATTAAGTGCTTAAAGTGGTCCTGCTGACAGGATTTAAAAACTTGATTTTTGCATAAGGGAATAAGGGAGGGAGGGAGGGAATAAGACTTTCCATAAAATGATTATGGGAATGGAGTAGGTGTTGGAATAGTGAGCTCCTACTTTCCAACTGCTTACTTTCGAATGTCGCGTCATGTTTCCGCTTTCAGTTGTTTTATAAATTTGTGCGAATCGCACACAGTTGTCAACGCCCATGAGAACAAACGTCCCAAACCCTAAAAATCTGGGGCTTCGGCTCAAATTTGGGCATTGCTCGACAGTGCCTCTTGGTGTATATTAGCAGCCCGCTCCTTCTTGACTTCTACTTTTTCAAACCCAGATTTGATGCTTGTCTGTTACTGTTTACATTGCCGCTTAGACGCTGTCAAACTGAGAGCAGACATACCAAATTCAAAAATGAGACAAAAATCTTTAGTCAACCTAATATTGGGTTGTTCAAGAAGTTTCTGCTGTTTGCTGACCTGGACCATACGTAAAACTTTCCACTATTTTATGGGCAGTTTACAGTTCTCCAGAAGATCAAACGATCTCGCTGTCTTGGAAATCGTTCAACGGGAAACAGAATCTTTCATTTGCGATAAATTGAATGTTCACTACTATCTCACGGTAGTTATTTCACTTTCAGCCCACCAGCAACAGGGCGTATCTTCAACACTTAGACTTTGGATTCCGGGGTGGCCAGTGGCGGTTAAACGGGATCATTTACGTTGCCGTAAACAGTATCGCGACGTTCGCGATCAAAAAATGTTAGATCTCCGACTGTAGGTGAACTGGCAGGATTGGGAGTTTGAACTTTGGTCTNATCAATCAATAGATTCATTCTTACATTTCTTCTCGATCCCTCGCCCACGCCTCGAAGTCCTGAACTTATTCTGTGCTGCCAGTTATTGCATTTGTTGCTGTTATTCGCTGTACTGTATAAATATTATACTACTACTGGACCACCACATTTGGAAAAGAAGATATACGCTATCACAGTTTATCTGGAGAAGCACACTATATATATTGTCATCGGGACATATATAGATATATTCCTTTTATGGTGCATCGGCCGGGAACTCGAACTGAGTTCGTCGTCGTTTCGCTTTTTGCTGGGTGGTGGAAAGCAATGACTCGTACGAAGAAATAGGGCCAACAAGCTGCGCATACCCAGTTTATGATGTAACAAACCATTGAGGCGGCTACCAAACCAAGTTTCCTCGATTGGTCGTGAATAGTCCAAATTGAAACAGTATTCTTTCCCATGAGAAGTTATGCACCGATTCGTTCTGCTTTTGTTTCGGTCGTTACCAACTGAGGATAGTCTACTCTACCGTTGCAGATTTGCGAAGGTGAATTCGCCTCTATAGGATTTGCAAACCTTCTACGCATTCCACGCTCTGATAGAACAGCGTCTCCGTAGATGTTACATACCTTTTTCACGCATTGAGCGGCACTTTGACCTTTGGGATAGACAAGAGCATCAGTTGTCAAAGAGGCCTTCCTATTTCAGATCGGCTTTACACAAGCAGATCCGAAGGGATCTTGACATACTTATAACGGAAATGAAGGAGGCTGTTTATCTTCCCCGAAAATACACAAGTTGTTGAGATTGCGACTGGGATTTTCTATAAAAGAGCCGATTGACAAGTGTAGTAAAAAGGGAAGTTCCCACCGAACTTCCCCAACAACCCAACATATGATAGGATGACCACAACAGTAGCGTGAACCGGGACATTTTTCACTTCATTTCCCACGAGTTGCTTTGTCCGCCTTTTGATAGCGTTACTACTTTACCTACATTAGAAAACGCTCTTAGTCAGCACTCATAGTATGAATATTGAGACTTTCCACCTCCCATCACGCCAACAACAACTTTCTTTTGTTGGATACCGCTACATTCACTTGACCCTTTCGTTGAGAATTTGTTTAAAGGGCCAAACACACTGCCTTATCTGGATTACGGACCTTTTCTTACCACACCACACCATAGTTACCCTTATCTTATAACATTAGCATCAGCTGAACATGCCTGGGAGTTCGAGACATTGTCACCGCAGGGGCTGTTAAATTGCCCTAACAGAGATCAGACCGTTTTGAAGTACTTCTCAAGCAAAAATGATGGCCATGAGTAGATAGATTCCGGATAACAATGCTCATATATAAGTGAAGTGCCCAAATGAATGTTTCATTCACTCTCTGAAGTCATGTCTCTGACGGCAGAACCATCACAAGCGCAACTTCCGGCATCTGGTGGCAGATCGACTCATCAACTGAACAATCCCAGCGAGCAGAAGCTGGTTTTCAAGGTGAAAAGCTCAAATAACAATGAGTATCGAGTGAGTCCTGTCTACGGATTCGTCGACGCTTCCGGAAATGCAAGTCTTGAGGTTACCCGCCTGGTGAGCTGTTTTCTACTCCAATGAAATACACTGTTCAGGAATTTCCAGAATGATTTCGAAAGTTATATTTGACATAAGTTCGACCAGATAGAAAACAGAGGAACAAGAAAAGATGGCAGGATCGATCTAATGAACCAGATTCATCTCTGCAATAGCTCGCGGGGTCCTTCGTGGATTTGATCCTTTAGGGTACACCCGTCTATTCACTCAAAGTGCGCAGAGCTTCTATCTAGTCGTTTTGCCGAGCCCCTTGTAGTAGTTACTGATTTGCCGCTTGGCAAAGCCGTTTAGGAGTCTCTACGGCTCTCATGCTTACCATATTGTTATCAAGGTATTATCACTCTACGGCCGACCGCTCTCAGCCGCGCAGCTTCCGTCTGTTTAGACCTTGTAAATGCGAAGAAGGGGTCGACTTATGGGTTTTCCGAAACCTCCCTACCCCTTCCCAGAGACACAGGCCACGCAAGAGACCCTTATGGTACTTCCCAATTATTCATAATATGTTGATGAAACCTATTTCATCAAGACTCCCACACGTAAACCTCATTAAGTCATTTTAGGCTGGAGCTCCAAAGGATGATAGACTGGTCGTGCAGTTTGCACCCGCACCTCCTGATGCAACGGATGCTCAATCGGCGTTCTCTCAAGTGCAGTCTCAGACTTCCGGCAACGTCACTATTAATCTTAGTGCTTCATGAAAAGACTTCACAGTAAAAGATTCTCTGGACTCTTCTGCCATGACACTGTAAAAACAATGGTACATTATGGAGCAAGGGTTCTGCCCAGAAGTTCTCCCCTATCACGAAAGGAAGAAGCAGCGGAAAGACGATACAGACGAGCCGCTGGGTCAAGTTTGATTTACACACAGCCACATACTACTGATTAAACTGATAAGCTTCTAAGATTGCGGGCGATGGGGTGCTATTGCCGAGTCAATGAAGGATAAGGCTTTCAGCGTTGGTCATACCCTGTCGTAGGGTGCGTCATGCATTCGAACACTCTTGAAAATCAATGCTGTGTCAGGCATTCCATGCACATGACGGAGACAACCGATAGGCCGGCTTCGTTCAAGATTCAGAAGGAACTAGAAACAACTAGCGGGCCACAGTGATGTAGATTTTTTATCTATTAGTTACAAGGCTAGGTTCGGTTCCTCATTTTCAATCTATGGCTAACTACAAGCGCTATATCAGCTATAGCTCAGCTAGGGGTATGGGTACATACGTGCGTCCGAGGTAGCGCGCCGCAAATTGCGCGGCGAAATTTGGGACGATTCGAATTACTCTGGCGCCTATTACGGGGCACAAACTTGAAGTAGGGCAGCTAAGTAAGGTTAGCCGACCCTTATAAGCTACTTTATTTCGAATTTAGACCCCAATGATAGGCGCTAGAGACGTCCAAATCGCCACGAACGTCACCGCGCGATTTGCCGCGCGCATCCTCGGACGCACATAAGTTCCGTCCCCCCTCAGCTAGTTACCGACCCATATGGAAATGGTATTGCTAAAAGGTTCTCTGCCTATACTGATGACAGATCCGAAAAGTGCAGTACGTCAAAAATATACCCAAAACGGTTTTCACTGGAGAAAGGCTGGGAATTGCAGTAAGAACGGTTTTTTTTTCGATAAGTTCATTTCTTGCAATCATTGTGAAAGCTACCCAGAGACCTGTGTGAGGCATGTTGCCTATGGGCAAATTTATGAACGGACGCAGAATTTTACTTTATGCACGTTGTGAACACTGGAACACGCTTTCTGTTTTGGCTCCGAGATTTCAATCGTTCAATTTAATCATCTGTTTCTGATCTGTTCAGTCGTCTTATTGTTAGGTCCGTTGAGCGGGAAAAGTTCTGAAACTTTCACTTCCGTGATAGACTCGCCAAAGTAACCAAGAACCCAAAAGGACACCTTCTTCGAGAATCTGCAGACTTCCCAGCGAAGTCTCCTCGTTGAAATGCTTTGTAAAATGGGAATGCTCGTACTTGCACCCCAGAGTTCATATTTAGGACAGACAGTTTCCCCTAAAGCGTTGATGAATGTTACTTCATCAATTGTGTTAAGCATTGAGAAATGTTCGAGTTCCAAGGATAGGGGGAAAACTGGATGAGTACTGGGCTTTACTCGCATAAGTACTAGACGCCTCAAGTCACTTCAACAGTCACATTTCCCCTGAAAAGCCATAAGAGCTTACTTAAGAGGCTCTGAGCCTTAGGGGAGCTGAGTGGCACGAAGGGAAGTTCCGTCTAGACCCTTTTCCAGATTAAAATATTATATCATCCAGCGAAGGCTTGACTACCTCAATTCCTTATAGGCGCGTTGACATGCCTGGCTTTTGAAGCTTTGATTTGAACGAAGACCGTGCCCGCTTCTTCAACGTCAAACGAGAATGAGAATCTAATCAAGGACTACCATGCCTAAAATTTGGTCGAGTTTGAAACCAGTATGTGCAAAACTATCAACCCCAATGCTGTGCTCTCTAGAAAAGGAAAACGCTCAAATTCAAACTTCTGCCACCACCGAGCTGATCTGAAAGCCTGAGTGCCTTTGGAAGAAATGTTGACACAAAGGAGTCTGCTCCGTTCAGGAGTCAAGAAATAGAGAGAAGGCCGCATCAAATAGTCGTAAATGCATCTTTAACAGAGAAAACATAGCTTTATTAGGTCAGCCTCAATTCAATCTTCCACTGGTACTATCGAGTTCAGCCAATATTCATCGCGCTCTCAAGATGTACATAGATGTGATAAGCGCAATATTATCAGTGGAACGTTATGAACACGTTACACTAGTTGAGCATCGGTTGTGTTCGTGTAGACCGTTAACTTCTAATCCTAGGCCTAGCGCTCTACCTGATGGTGAGACACGACATTTCCGAGAAAGGCAAGAAAATCTCGGCGAAGTGGTGTTGAACACCACCTTTGACACCGGCGATGACCTTCATATGAAATGGTTAGATACTGATCAGGAAACCGTTGCGGAATTCAACCTTACATGCTGAGTAAGAACATTGAACATGACTAATAGTTTCCGTCTCAACATTTTCAGATGGACCTGAGAAACATTGGTCTCTCTAAGGCAGCCCTATGAGTATTCGACCGATCGGGCCGATCCTTTTCGAATACTTGGTTCCGCCTGCTCACATGGCTATTTCTTTCAGTATTCTGCCGAACCTGTTGAGTATGACAAACCAACTTGTGCAACAACAAACACGGGCTATTTTCCCATAAAGCGCAACCTTGCTTTCCAGCAACTGGTTGAAGCGGGAAAATGTAGGTGTTTACGCAGCCTGACGGATGACTTCAAGAACTGCAGCCTTCATCTTGGTCGGCTATATTAGGGATGAAGACGGGTGTTTATCAATCCCGTCTGNTGGATGCGGCACCAATCAACCGACCTCGAAGGGACGGAAGGCTTCGTTGGCCTAGGCTGATACCGAACCGGGATTCGAATCCGTGACCATGCGTGGGTAATAGTGTGCAACTCGTCACTACACCGACTCTGCCCTTGACAAACCACATAGTCATGAAATTTCAAAAACAATTCGGGTTTCTCTTTTTTACATAGGGAAATATGGTCGCACGTCGAGGGGGCATTGCAGGTTGTTAACACCTAATGTTCGGGGTGGGGGGAGCTCGAGTGTTTTGGGGAACTGAACTTGCAGCAGCGACGGGAAGGGATGAGAATCGCTTAAATATATGAAAGAAGAGCAGTTTAAAAGGAATCCAAACAGTCAGCCAATGCAACAACGAACTTGCCCATGCGAGTGTAAATCATTAGCTTTCCAGGTTAAGTATTTCAACCTTCCTTCATAGAAAGGTCAAGTCAATCAGTGACGGAAAACACGAGAAAAGGCGTCCATCAGAAAAGAAGGGAAAAACAAAAAGCTCAGGAAATCATGGAGTCTTTGCCTCCCACATACTTCAATCATATAAAACTAGACCGCCATGAAAACTTATCCAAACTAAAATGATGAACATGAAGAGATCAGTTAGAATAGAATAATAAAAACGACTACGTGTTTCATGGATGGTTCAATAATCTTCTCAAGTCATGTCTCTGACGGTCGATCCACCAGCAGCTCAAGTTCCAGCAGCCGGCGGCAAATCGACTCACACATTAGCCAATCCTGGCGAAGCAAAGATGGTTTTCAAGGTGAAGAGCTCAAATAACAATGAATATCGTGTGAATCCTGTCTATGGATTTATCGATCCTGCTGGGAATGCAACCCTTGAGGTTACTCGCCTGGTAAGTTACCTTAAACTCAAGTTATGCTAAGGGAAACTCGATGCTAACGTCAGGGGTACGTCGAATAGAGTATGGAACTTGATTCGAATCGTAGCAAGCTATTGAAAATTGATCGGAACGACTCTGTTCGACCAGGTTTCAGGCGGGACCACCAAAGGAGGACAAGTTGGTCGTGCATTTTGGACCCGCACCCGCTGATGCAACCGATGCTCAAGCGGCATTTGGCCAAGTACCGGCAGAGCAACAAGGCAACATCACCATTGGTCTTAGCGCAACATGAGAAGACTCTTCAATAAAAGATTCTTTCAAAGCTTTTTGTTATGTAATAGCACCGACATTTCGTGAAATGAAACATTGGAGCAAAATCGTTCCGCTCACAGTCTCCATGTCGAGGTGCAAGGGTCAGTGGATCCAGATGAGCGAGCCATTGTAAGCATTAATGGGTTCATGGTAGGACTAACGGGTTGGTTTGGTCCGTACTAGAGTTGTTGGCACAAAAGAAAGAGTTATAGCTGCTCGCTCAAGGGATCGAAGGCAAAACACACGCGGTGGGGGACGAGTACTCTGCGGGCTGTGTTGGAAGAGATCACCGAACATCATCTGATGGTAATAGGTGCTACGACACCCCTCATGATAGTTAACACAGCAATCCTTCTCACACATCAATGGAGGACATGGTGTAGCCGTTTGTTTGCGAGCCTGTCAGTTTGCTGGCCTGTTGATTTCACAGATCATTATCAAGGAAGCGAGAGAGAGCGAGACCGCAAACTAATCTGGTACCAGCAGGGAGCAAGCTCAAGCGGAAGGCCAGTGGGTGAAATGTTACCGATGATGGGGCTTATGCAAAACAAATCATGGTGGCGACCAATATCGATCCTGGGGAGAGTAAACGTGTAATAAATACTATGCTCTCTCCTTTGGTAGAGTAACTACAAAATTGGTAAGGGGCACGTATAATAGGGCGTGAGATTCGAAATGAGTTGTCATTTCACATCATTCACCGTCCAGACGATACCTAGCCCTGATCCTAATACTTGACGATTTTAACTGTGCTGACATGAGGCAATGACATGAGTGGTGTACTGGCAAGAGGCGCACTATCACACACACACAGTCTGGAGTCTGGTGACTGTATCCTGGATTGGTACTCGCCTAATCCAACCAAGCCTGCCATTATTCCTGGGTCAGTTTATTGGTACCAGACTCGTTCAAAAGAATCAAAGTTTTGACTTGTACACCGGTTGGGCACCGAAGGTTATTGAGTCAGCGGAATTACCGTGGCGAAGTAGATACCCATGTTATAATCAATGTTCTATAAGTAACCCTACTGTCTTTTGAGCCTTCTTTATTACCTCAGCTTGCGGTGGGCTTTCCGTGTTACTACTTCTACCACAGTCAAGTGGAAAGCTCTGCGGGCGGAAGACACACAGAACGATCTTTATACCAACAGACCGATGGATCCATAGCTCGACAGCTGGATCAACAAACTGATACATCAACGATGCATCCTGAATGATGCACTTGTGGCGAAAGAGACTATTCAGCACCAACGCTTCAGTTCCCAAATCCACTAATACACATCATGATATCGTGAACTGTACCTTCAAGACCAACGGATACTCAGAAGTGGCTTCAAAGAGATGCCTCTTCATTATGGACTCCTTTGAAAGCTTTAGCTCCACCTTCGCCCAGCGATCATTCGCTGATCATGAGCAAGCCAAATCATCCAAAATACTGTGTACCTTACTGATATCGGTCGATGGCTTGGAGCCAGCCACAGAAAAGGTTACCAATTTTCAATGTTTTACAGCAACCTCTAAAGGTGCAGCTTAACAGAAATATTGACACAGGCGGCGAGGGGCCCAACTTATAAGCTACACAACCCACTGTTGAAGGTGAACAAGAAACAAATACCGCCAAATGTGTTCATTGACGACGTGGAACCTTGAAAATCATTTATTGTGGTGGTGGTGCTGCTGGTGGTGCTTCCGCTGCCGGCGCCGTGGCACTAAGTGGTATTGTCACATTTCCGGCTGGTTGTACAGCCGCAAATGCAGCAGCGGGATCCGTGGCATCTGGAGGAGCAGGAGCAAATTGAACAACCATCTTGTCTTCCTTCGGTGGTCCTGCCTAAAACTCTGACACTGTTGAAAGATATCATAGGGCGAGAATCGTGGTCCTCACCAATCGAGTAATTTCAAGCGGTGTCGATGCTCCAGGATCGACGAATCCAAACACTGGCTTCACACGATATTCTGTATTGTTCGAGCTTCTTACTTTAAAGACCAGCTTTTCAGCACCACCGTTTACAAGGTTGTGTGTCAACGTTCCACCAGTAGCTGGAACTGTACCATTGGGTGGATCAGCAGTAAGCGACATTAGCAATCAGGATAAAATGAAGACCGACCTCCATCTGTCGATATTTATAGGCCTTCACATCACTATCATTATCATCTGGAACTCAACACACTCGATGATAAGGGTTTTCGTGACGACGGGGCTTCAGCCGGGATAAACCTTATGCATCCGCCCTCCTAAACAGAATCGCAGTTGCTTCGAATGCGTATCGGGCTGACGGAACTATTTGTGGGTCCAAATCATGTGCAGTCACATGTTCCTGTCCTCTCAGAGGAACCTAGCACACCAGGTAATCGTTCTGAAAGTTCACAAACTCTGCCTGGCCTGATCAGGTATCGATTCAAAATCGAACATTTGAATCATCTGTGTAGCAGTGGCGGCACCTCACACTACAAAAACTTCATCCTCGCGTATTTGATGGTATTCGTTATAAGAAACCAGTCGGGCCGCCCGGCTAACGCCGGGCTTCCCTCCTTCCCGCAAGTAACACTTCGGATTCTCTTTTTGCTTTGAAAGCTCTACACCCTCAGTGTTGGCTCCGAATTGGGAGCGATTTTTTCGGTAAGCCAAGCTCGCTGTGTTCGAAGGAACATCGTTTAATACCACAAAGGCGATTATCCAGAGAAGAAAAGTATTCAGAAACTTTATCGCGGCTGAGGCTACTATGTTAGCTACCATCAATATTCCTCAATGCCATTATCAAGGGCTCTCCTCATTCTCGGGGCAAAGGGACTTTGCCCGAAAAATATTGAATTAATGAAATTCACCCTTTTTAATACATATGTTATTTCGTTTTTTCGCTGAGCGAGAGTATAGACTATCAAATGCCTTCAAAGATGTACCTCACTTTTTCTACGGATACATCATTAAATGTGAATCCAACATTATTACCGGTCGGATAAATTTTGCTAAGAATGATATCAAAGCAAAGAGAAACCGTGATCTTTCATTCAATAGCAAACCCTGTTGGGTAGCGGTCGTAATCTAATAGCAAGAAGTGAACCAAATTCATCTCCTTTTAATCATACAACTTAACCTTCTTGTCGAATGAAACATATCAAAAAGTCAAAGCTAGATCGT